AAACTTTCTCTATAAGGACCAGAAAGTAAATATTTTCTGCTCTGTGGGCCATATGGTTCCTGTGGCAACTACTCGATTCTGCCCTTGAAGTACAAGCAGCCATAGACAATCCATAAATGAATGATCATGGCTGTGTTCCAATAAAAACTAATTGCCAACCCCTGGTGTAGACAAAAGATAAAGGTAGCTTGGGCCATAGTGACAGAGCCTACAGGTACTTGAAAAAGAATTGATAGGATGTGCTTTTTGGAGATGAGGAGTGAGGGACACTGAGGCTCTGGGTTTGGACAAGTGGGAGTATTAGAGCTCTGTTTATCGGGGTGGTTAACAATAGAAGGGAATTTGTGGGGGAAAGGGCATAAGTTCAGTTCATACTTATATAGCGTGAGGCACCTGCAGGAAACCCAAGTGGAGAGATGTCCCTGACAGAAGGAAGAGGAAGGTGGGTGTTGATTTGGGGAAGACTTATTAATCTGGAGGTAGGAAGTTAAAAGGGTTCTATCCCATAACTTTGATTTTATCTGAGAATTAGAAAGCAAGGTCATCTTCAGATAAAGAGAAGGTAAGACAAGTGTAAGACAGGAGGAGTCAGAAATTTGAACATGGTGAGGAAGGTTTGAAATACTTATTGCATAAATGGGAGAGTGGGTTGACTAGAGAAATAGCAATGGACACTGTTTAGAGCTGGTTGTGATAGGCAACCAGGAATTCACCATCTACCCACGTATGGTTTAGGGGTTTTGTTTTGTTTCTTCCCATCAGTGCTTCAGCCATCAGGCAGTTGTGCAGGGAAAGGCTGGTTTCATCCTGGAATGGAGTTTTCAGGTAGGTGCAACCAAGGCACAAGATAGTTTAGGTAAGAGAGTGATAGAAACGATAGGCCATAGACCCAAAACATGGGGGTCCTTACACCATTCCTGACCTTGAGTTGTAAGGTCATGTTTGTTTAACCAAATACACAGACTCCACTGGAGAGAGCTGCAGGGAAAGCCGTGTCTTCCCTGGAGGGTAAGAGTCTGCAGGCGAGAGTGTTGAGAAAAGAGGGTGAAGGAATAGGGATGCTTGTCGATGACAGAGTTGGGACTGCCCGTGGCAACATAGGGGAGGAAACTGCACTGGAGTGGAGGTAGAATAGCATGGATCTGAGAGCATGGCAAGTGGCAGATCACCAAGAAACGCGCCTAGTAGGGATGGACTAACGCAAAAGTGAAGAAGGCACATTTACATCTCCAGTGTGTCTTGGAGGCTGCCGAGCATTCAGACTTACCACATTTCAGTTGAGGTGTAAAAAAATAGAAAGTGGACATGGTAGGGCCAGGCCTGCCTCTGCTGATGGTCTGTAAAGGTTCACAGTTGTGCTCGGCAGCATGTGTGTGGTCATTCATGGGGCAGGAGGCAGGGCAGCGAGCGTAGCCTTGCATCATGGGGCATGGTGTCTGGGCCCAGCTGGCCCCAGGTCACCCCCATGGACATTGGCGAAACCTAGACCGCTCTTCGACTGTTGTGCCCATTGCTGCACCCCTGCTGAATCAGCGTCCAAACCTCTCAGGGGTCTTCTGCATTCTGTGTGTTTGTCAGGGAACGAGGGCCAGGGCTAGAGCGAGACAAGAGAGGTGCCTAGGGCACAAAATTAAGGCGGCTCAGTCGGTTGGACGTCTGCCTTCTGCTCAGATGATGATCTCAGGGTCCTGGGATCAAGCCCCCACATCAGGTTCCTTGCTTGGCGGGGAGTCTGCTTCTCCCTCTGCCCCTATTGGTCTCTCTCTCTCTCTCTCAAATAAATAAATAAAATCTTTAAAAAAAAAATTAAGGCAGTCCTCACTATCAGGATTAGGCACAGCCCAGAGAGTGAGCGCCCAACCCTAAGAGTGAGGGCCTCTCTATATTTTGTATCCTAGGCACCTCTCTGACCTCACCCTGGTTGGGCCCACCAGAAACCTCTAATATGAAATGGTATCTATGGGACCATTCACTTTAATTTTAGAAAAAGATTTACAATTAGCAATTCCAGAAAAAAAAAAAAGTTCAGTTTTGGAGTAGGTTGTGAGTCCTTGTTAGACAAATCTATGCATGCCAAAGAAGCAAACTTTGGGAAACTCTGCTATATGACGCTCTGTGTTACTGCATTTTCTGTGAACTTTTTTGATCTCTAAAAGCACTTTCTTGCAAATTCATGCTGGAGATACAATATTGATAGGCCCCGTGACATTCTGACTGATGTACATGTCTCAAAAGACTCTAATAAGAAAAACATCATTCTTTAAGGAGCATTTGGAATTTATCATAAAGAATTAATTTATAGGTCTGCTGCCTTCTGTGGAGAATATTTCCTCTACTCTGGCATGAGATAGAGGTATGTCTGCACCCTTCGACGGCAAGGGAACACAGATACCCTCAGTCCTTGAAGTCAGGCTCTCTATCCTCAGAGACCATCGTCCTGAGATGAGTCATCTTGATTGTAAACCAGGCATTAAATAGGCAGAATTAGCATTTTCAAAATGATGGGCAGATTTCCAAAGTAGGGCAAGTTGATTCCTAAGGAGTCTCCTTTGGGCTCTAGAATTCTGAGCTCTCGTCGTCTTGTGTTGGCTTTCATTCTTTTGTTTCTTCTCTATTTCCAGGTGGTCTGATTGTCTCAGTTACAAAAACAAATTATTTAAAAGCAATTTAGGTTATTTGCTTTGTTGATAAGTACACAGTAAAGCAGAAAAGAGGATTCACTGCTCCCTGGATTCATGAAAAAAATTTAACAAATAGAGCAAAGCATTTAACTATTTTTTAATGGTTTTCTATTAACCAGAAATGAGGAGGACCCCATGACTTAAATAAAGGCCAACCAAGAGCATGATCCCTGGGGCTCTTTTCAAGAGCAGCCTTAGAGGAACCCACTCAGATGGGCAATTAGAAAGAAGGAGGTCGCTATTAGCATTTGCTAAAACAAACAAAAACAAGCTGTTCTCATATATTTTCCAATAGACAATGACTGGCTTTTTTCAAGTCCACTGTATTGTTTCTTCAAAGGTTCTGCTTTCTGTGGACCAGTATATCACTCCTGAACGCAGCAGAGATGCAAAATGCATTTCTTATGTTTGGCCCACTAATTCATACATCATGTAAATAAGTTGTTAATGATGATTCATCAACTGCCTTATCTACTGCCCTTGGTGATTCTTGCTGTACACTGAGATGAAATGTAAATCATCTTAGTCATGTATTTTCTGTGACGAACTGAAATGGCCATTCAAAGAGCTATTGCTCTCACCTTCTCTCATTTGGAGAGACCTTTATAGTTTTTCCAAGTATTTTTGCATCTATGATTTAGTGGGGGACTTGAGATCCTAATGAGATCTTTCGAGGCAAGTGTTATTACCCCCATTTGAGAGAACCTTGCCTGAGGTAACCCCACCCTTTACTGAGTTACCGCAGAACACCGCACTGATCTGTGGCTTTTGTAGGCTGGGTATCATTACCTGGCTTTCATTTCCGTGTCCATTTCAGTTGTCCTGGTAAAGACAGATGCTGAGATTGACAAAAGAGACAATGAAGAGTGAACGTAAAATTAAGAAAAGGACACAACAGCAGCAACAACAACAACAACAAAAACAGAAGAGAGAGACTAGTGTTATGTTTATTTTTATAATTGCTTTTTTGGAGATTATTAAATGAAGATATCCGGAAGGAGAAGTATCTGATGAAGGAGTAAAAATAGCATATGACTGACTTGGAATGATGCCTTTTCATAAGTAAGTAGAGCAGAACTGAACAAGGAGAATAATCAGCAGGGGAGATAGGAGTTAGGAATGAGAATGTGTTGTGCACAAAATGAGGAGTTAGGAAATATCTTACCTAAATAGTCTACCAATTTAGATGCACAGTGATTTGACTGAATTGGAAGGGCCACTGGGGGAGGACACAAGCTTCCCAATTTCTGGAAGGAAAATATCTTTTACAAGTGTACCAATAGGATCGAAGCCCCAAGCCCCGAGAAGATCCCCATGTCCTATCTCTTGTGTAAATTCAAAATAAAGACACTGGCCAACTAGAAAACAAAACCTATGCGCATGTGGAACTTTAGATATGCTGATCAGTACTGGTTATGTTAATCAAAGCTGAACCTCTCTGTCTCTCTTCAGTAGCCTGGTTTTACCGGTGCCCTGAGCATATAGGGTAATTCAGCACTGGACAGAATTATTGAATCATCTATATAAATTGTGAAAATAATAAGCACTATCTGGTCTGCACTTGCTAGTGTATCATTCATTTTTTCCTGCCAAAAATTTTATTAAAAAAAAAATTACCCTGGCAACCATGCTTACATAGTATAAATGGAAGGCTGAGTCAAAGATAAAATAATGGATGATTTAGCCACCTAAATAAATAGAAGGAGAGATAGTATATTCTGTATGGGACAGCCCCCTAGGAGAAAATCATAAATTCTGCATGTGCCATAATATTGTACAACACTGAAAACAACAAAACACATTTGCATAAGTTCCAATGTCATGCTTGCGGACACAGTGAAACTCATCTTTTTCAATATACACAGGATGAAAAGTACTTAAATTGTTCCCCTAAACAAGTATTTTAAAACAGGATACATCACATGTAGGTCCATTTTGTGTATTGGCTAATAAAAGATGTGGTCTGAGAATAAATATTACAAAATTTTCATCAAGGTTTAAAATAAAATCTATTGGCACTAAGACCAAACACTAGAGTATGATCTAACTCGGGCTCCCTCCCATTTCTAAAGTCACTCTATTTCAGTATTTCTTCGGATATGCTCTGTGGGTCACCCAAGTCACAATCACAGGGCACAGGTTAAACATGCAGTATCCAGAGCTGCCCTGCAGATTCAGCATATGATGATCTCAGGGGCTGACGCCAGGGTATCTGAATTTTCAAATCTCCCAGTGATCTTTAAACACATTCCAAGTCAGGATCCAATGAATGAATGCTTTACTGTCATTGTTCCTCAGGTGCTCTTCTTAAACCCTTCCTTGGCCACCGGATGGCTCATTCCAATGTGAGTTCCTGAATGGAAGAGTTAGTGGCCAGGAATTTCCAGAGGAAAAAAAGGGAGGCTCATTAGCTGGGTAAACGGGAAGCTAGAACCTGTTCTGGAGAGAAAATGAACCCACAGAGGCTTCCCAGAGGAGGGAATCAAGCCAGTTGTTGACAAAGTCTCCTTCTCGTCCCAACACACTTGGGGGAGCAAGATGGGAAGCGACCTTCAAGATTTCATTTGAGTTGGTGATGAAACTTCAATTCAGTTAGAGCTGCCTGGTTGGGGTTGTTTCTTCTTCACCTAAGAGGAAAGCTCAGAGGTAAACCAAAGGTCGCTGCAGCCCGTGGGGATCTCCTTGGAGTCCCCTAGAGTACGCTGCATTCTTTTACCTATCATTGATAGATTATGGCCCAGACGAATACATGTTTTTTTCCTTGGTTCATTATTTTAATCTTCTCTTGTCCCTAACTAAGCCTTAGATTTTCTAAATCCAACCTCCTCCTCCAAATCATGTATATTATGAGTAATAAATTAAAACGGCAACTTGGATAGAAGTACTAATCTGTGACTAAATATTTAACAAGGGGGCAGGAAAAATTTACATTTTGATCTTCAAACACTGGAAAATAAATGCCCTCAGTTGTGAGTTTTCCAAACTGGCGAGACTGCAAGGGCAAAAGAAAATTTCCATGCATTTGACTGACCCCTTGAGAGGTGAGCTATTATTAGCAGCAAGACCTTGCCAAAAACTATCTGGAAAATATTGGATGAAAAGTGATTGAAACTAGAAGTATTTTAAGCTGGTCAGCAGAGCCATGTCTGAAGGAGACAGATGAGCAAATATTACATATGCATAAATAATATTTATATATAGTATTTATGCCTGCATATAACACATATAACATATCATATATATCTGTATATTTAATGATTCCTTTTAATCCAGCAAATATTTATTGAGTGGCTATTAGGGGTTATGCACTATGCCATGCTAGGTTTGGGGAACACGAATAATAAGATCTAGGTTCTTTTTCCTCCAGGAACTCACAAACTGGAAATGTGTGAGGGAACACTATGATTCCTACAACTTAATACAACCTGACAAGGGCTATATTAGCAACTTACAGGAAGGTTAATAGAGGAGAAGAAACCTGAGGTTGGTGCCAGTGATCAGAGAAGCCTTCCCAGAACAGGTGACATTTAACTCTTTGGGATTTCAGCAGACACAGAAGTGTGAGAATGTCGTCCTGGCAGAGGAAACAATTTGCAGGTTAGGAGTACATGGCTGGAATGAAGGAGCTGGGGATGCATTGGGTAAGGAATGGCCGCGCTTATGGTTTGAGTGATAAGTTCATTTACATATTCATTTATTCAGCAAACTTTCAGTGGGTGCTGAAGGAGGTAGGTGCTGGGTACAGAGGCTGAGGAGACAGGTTTTGCCTTTTCGTGGTTCATGTGCTAGGAAGAGAGTGGTGGAATATGGGACTGGGACTGTGAAACAAACAGGAACCACCAGCCTTGTCTGATTCTAGAAGGATTTTCTGTGGTGTCCCAATAGTACCTTCCTGGGTAATAGCTGCCATTTCATCCAGCACCTCCTAAGTGCTGTGCTGAGTAGCTGTGTCACTGCCAGTCCTTACAATCCTAGGGCGTAGGTATTTTCTCTATTTACAGAAAGGAAGAGAGAAGCTCTGGGTGCCTGACCTTGCACAACTTACACTATAGGAAGCTTGGATTTCTGCAGACATTGATCTCAGTGGCCTGGTAATTATAAAAGCTGAAGAACAGTTATTCAAGTACTTCCCCACCCCAGCCCCTGTGGAAAATACCATCTCAAATGCCTTGGGACTCCCCTGGCCTCTGATGCTGCGGGACAGCTCTGCACAATCTGTGCAGGTGATCTATGTCGGTCTGCTCTTCTGAGAGACCGGAGCTTATTGCCCTGCTGGGCTGCCCTGGATCCCTGCCCCACCCCACCCCACCCCATCCCCATCCCCCCAAAGCAAAGATTTCCAATTACTGCTCTGCAGCAAACGTCAAAAGCATTATTCAACTATTCATTATCCCAGGTTTTCTAATTTTTCATATGTTTTTAACTCTTATCTGCTAGCGCTTGAAAAAGACCAGCTTTTTCCTCTTAAGAGAGCTTAATTTGCAGAGCTGTGCAGTCTCCCTATTATGTTCTTATCATCCTCTCCCTGTGGTAGGCAGAATGACAGGGATGACAAAAAAAGAACCAAAAATATTTGAAGGGCTTCCTGAAATCCACGGGAATGGAGGATCCAAAAAGCCTGAGGCTTCTGTTCCTCGACTGACCTGGAATAAGGCCAAGGGCGATCGGCATTAGCTCTCACAGTCCACTCAAGCAGGGGCTCTTGGCTAGTTGTCCCAGGGACCAAAACCACCACTCCAGGGCTATAGGACTTTGTCTCTGAGGATTTCTCTCAGGAGCTTAACTAGGGGATTAAGCAGCTCTGAGGTGCCCAGAGGTTACCCCGAAATTCCCATACCAGTGTTAAATCAGTTTGGGTATCAGAAGAACCAGAGGCCAAAGCTTTCTTGGTGTGGGTGGTTAGTCCTTCCCCCATCTCCTTTGGCCTCCCCACCCCATTCTTGTGTAAGGCAATTGACATTTTTCTCGACGCTATGCAAAGGCAACTTCAAGTCCCCTAGCTCTCTCTTTTTCCACCTAGATGGCGCCCCAGGCCCCGCCATCTGGAAATTCTGAGCCGCCATCTCCCTGGATCCTTTCCTCCCAGGATCCCCAGGTTTCTGAAGACAGCGCACCAGGACTCCGGGTTCACCCGGAGGGACACTGCACGCGGTGTGCCTCGCTCGGGGGGGAATCCCCGCCCACCCTGTCATTCCTGTAGGGGAATCCCCGCCCCCCGTCCCTGTCACTCCGGGAAGGGAGTTCCCGCCCCTCGAATCTACCAGAGGGAGGGAATCCCCGCCCATCCTGGAGGCTCCGTGGATCCCCAGCGCCGCGCAGCTGGGAGAGCTGGGCGCCGGTGCGTGCCGGCCGCGGGCAGACAGACGCGGTGGGGTGGCGGCTGCAG